TTAGGATGGAACCTCGGACCTTAATATGGTATCAGAGCAAATTAAGTTTCAACGAGTAATTAGATCTTGGTGAGCCTCAAGAACGAGCACAAGGATTCCAAGATTGGTATGCTCCAACGAGCCACCATCTTGCAAGGGCGTATTAAGTTGTCTCACATCGGTTGCACATAGAAATACAAACTACCATATAAAGTATAGGGCTACTCCTACCAACAACTTGACCTTTTAAGATGAAACCCCAAGTATTAATATGTTAAGGTCCGAGGTTCCATCCTAAAAGGTTAACCTGACAGGAGGAGTAATCCAAAGTCTTATATAGTGTTTTATTGTTTTATAGCTTTTTGGTGTGGGACAAATACTTTAATACGCCCCCTCGTTCGGGTTGGACAATATCAAGGTGTATAGATGGACCAAACATTCCCTTAACAAGCTACCCGTAATCATTGGTGCTAAACATGCAGTGAAACCACAACCGGAATTGGCTCTGATACCATATTAAGACTTGGGGTTCCATCTTAAGAGGTCAACCTGTTACAAGGGGTAGCCCAAGTCTTTATATGTTGGTTTATATTCCCATACGCAACCGGTGTGGGACAGCTTAATAAGATTGATGAAAAAAATCATTGGTGTCAAAATATGGGTTGTTTAGGCGGTTGTCTACTTTGAGAACCCTCCTTTCTAAATGTGTTGTGTGTTCAAGTAGCACACCACATTCTTCTAGGAAGTGTTCATACGAGCCTTATCGAGTGTATCTAAGTTTAGTGAAATGGTGGAAATTTAGGATACTCTAAAAGCCATGACAAAAAGCACAAAGGAGAAGATGAATGAAATAGTAAAATTAAATGAGAAGTTGGGAATAAATACATAACAAGAAGCTTGAAATTTGAAGTCGAGCCACCCATATGCGAGGGATAGAGTATGCCGCAGATGCGTAGCACCAAGAAGGAATGACTTAATGGATGGAATCACCAGATGACTACTTCATTCATCTAAATAAAGCTAAAACCTTGCGTATGCGAGATAGACTGCGGAACACGGAAATGCAACGACCATTTGTTAACATATCAAAAACTTGACCGGTCGATTACTTCCTTCGTCGCACAGGTAATTATATACAAGGATATATACTCTTTTTGCAGCCTTCAATTCAAACACTCTCCGATTTATAAAGAGTTGGACTTGGGGTATACAATTTTTTGTGTACACACTTTTACACACCGCCTGTGTAGGCTTTTCAAACGTGTTTTCGTCAAAATACGTGTTGTTTGTATAGACAAAAAAGCCTACAGAGACAACGTGTAAAAGTGTGTACACCAAAAAGTGTGTGCCAAGAGTATTTTTGTATTAATAAAAATGTATTGAAACTATATAAAACGCTACATGCCTATTACCTAGACCGAGCTAGTGTTCAGTATACTGTACCACCCCGTAAATACTCTACGCGAGGCGGATACCCCAATAAAGTAAAGTGGTGGCAATTATTACTCTAAAGCAAAGTTTAAAACGTGTGCTCTCATCAGATTTTTTTTAACGATATCAGATTGTTAGCAATGATTTTTTTTTTTAATATATCTCCTATTTGATACTCCTTTAATTAAAAGATGATAATCCTTCTCACATTTTTATAAGTAATCTTTTTTAGCTCATGTCTAAATACGTTCTAAATAAATTGAGATAGTGGATAAAGTGTGACATATTGTGATTATATTTGTAACATTTAGTGACTATTACTTATGTTAAATTTTGTACTTCAGAAACTATGAACTTATAAATATACTATGTAGGTATTATTGGGTAATCTACACAAGGATCGGTCTTTCTTTATACAATTAAATACTTTAGATCAGGGCTGATCAAGGATTTCAATCATTCAATTCATCAGGGACAAAAAAATCAAATATATAAAATAACTATAATTGCATAAAAAGAAAACTACAAAAGTAAATGTTATGTTAAAGTATTTGTCTCACATCGGAAAACGATAAAATAACAAAACACTATATAAGGCGTTGGGCTACTCCTCTATCAGGTCGACCTTTTAGGATGAAACCCCAGACTTTAACGTGGTATCAGAGCCAATTCCGGTTGTGGTTAAACTGCTTGTTTAGCACCCATGATCACGGGTAGCTTGTTAAGGGTCTTTTTGGCTAATTTATACACCCCAATATTATCCATCCCGGTTCGGGTTAAGGGGGCGTGTTGAAGTAATTGTCCCACGCTAGAAAGCTATAAAATAATAAAACACTACATAAGGCTTTGGGCTACTCCTTTTATCAGGTTGACCTTTTAGGATCAACCCCAAATCTTAAATATTACAAGCTAAGTACCTTAATTACAAGAATAAGAGTTCATATCAAAGTCAAGTACAAAAAAACAATGACTAAAAGAAGTTGGAGTACTGTAATAACTAGCACATCACCAATGCATACGCAAGGGAAAACAATTGGTCCTTATATATTTTTGTTCATGATCTAATTTAAATACGTAGTATAAAAATGTTTTTTACAATTCTATAGCATTTCAAAAATAGAGTTTTATAAGTTACTATTAAAAGTATAAATTCATACAACAAATATTCAAAGTAAATGAAAATTAAAGTAAAAAAAATCAACACTGTCTATTAGAATTTGCTACGTAATAATTAGTATTGTTGACAACAAATAATAAATTAATGAAGTTAATTGTTAGAGTTTTGAAAACTACTTTAAGGAGAACTTTTAGTGGTAACGTCTAATGTTTTTCTCTTCTTATAATGTATTAAAATTATCAATCCATACTTTCACCCTCGATAAGCAATATATATAAAGCATTTCATACCTAAAATATGTCTAGATAGGAAATTAAGTTTCTTCTTTTTCCAATGATAGAGCTAGAAATTTATTGATTATTGTCACATATGTGAAAATTATAGAAAAATGTCTTCTCATAAGTTTAAAAGATCTTGAGATAGGAAATATGAGAGGGGAAATTCTCCCGATCAGTTATTATTTGATTATCTTATACCTAAAAACACTACATATGAGAGAAAAAATTATCTCGCTTAATTATCCTATCATATATGACAACTTTTAACTATGGCTTATGGTTTTACCACAGCTGTTGTCCCCACACACGTAAAATTGTCGCAAAATTATCATGAACAATATTCACCACAGTTTCTTTAGTCTTTTAGGACTGATTAGGACGGTGGTAAAAAAGATATATTTAGTAGTGCACTTAAAAGCACTATGCATGAGATTGAGAGGCAAAATTCATATTCTCAATTATTAGCACACTTATTTTCTTATACCTAAAATTTTGCCAAAGTTGTCCGGCACGGAGAAATAGTGTTTTTAGGTATAAGAAAATAAGTGTGCTAATAATTGAGAATACGAATTTTGCCTCTCAATCTCATGCATAGTGCTTTTAAGTACACTACTAAATGTATCATTTTTAATTACCACCGTCGTAATCAGTCCTAAAAGACTAAAGAAATTGTGGTGAATATTATTTATGACAATTTTGCGACAATTTTACGTGAGTGGGCACAACAGCTGTGGTAAGAACATAATCCACAGTAAAAAATTGTCCTATATGATAGGATAATTAAGGGATATAATTTTTTCTCTCATATATAGTGTTTTTAGGTATAAGAAAATAAGCAAATAATAAATGATCAGGCGAATTTCCTCCCTCATATTTCCTATCTCAATAGCTTTTAAACTTATGAGAAAACATTTTTCTATAATTGTCACATATGTGATAATAATCAATAAATTTCTGGCTCTATCATTGGAAAAAGAAGAAACTTAATTTCCTACTTAGACATATTTTAGTCATGTAATATTTTATATATATAGAAATTGCTCTAAATAGGAGCAAAACCGTTTTAAAATTCCAAAATAGGAATATCATGTTTTTTATTTCCTGAATAGGTGATTGGTGATTGGGTTGAACGAACGCCCTTATCTTGCGTATTTATAGACTTATAGTCTCATTATAAAGCTAAGTTTTACTTATAATACGTAGTAATATATCAACGTACCGGGGGTATAAAGACTGTTAGATTGGCGTGCTTTTTTAAAATTAGTACGTAGTATTACATGTTTATACTCCCTCCGGTTCTGAAAGATCTTTACACTTTCCATTTTTAGCAGTATCTGAAAGATCTTTACACTTCCTTATTTGCCTTATTTGGCAAATAAATCTACACAAAACAGTGCCAAACAGTGCCAAACAATGCCAAACAGTGTTTATTTCCTTAAAAATTGTGAAGTCAAAGTATCAAGATCTTTTGGAACCGGAGGGAGTACAATTTTTTAAAACTACAAACCGTGAATTGTATATGTGTGATACTAATATCTATAATACCAAAAATATAATTGACAAAATCTTCTAAGTGACTTGATAAAAAATAAGGGTAAGAATGCTGTTTTATTTATTTTAATCAGATCCTTACTAAAGTAATATTCCCTCATCCCACTAAGAATGCGACAAATCGGTTTGCGATACTTAACCGGCGATAAAGCAAACAAATCTTTACTTCCACTCAAATTATTTTAGAAATGTATTTTAAATTTGTCTCATTGTAAATTGTCATATTTTTCTTTTTCTTTTCCACTAATATAGAATGTTGTACATTGACAACCGTGTAAAATGGATTGGTGCATAAATGAAAGTTTCCATTAGCAAACATTTGGAAACTCCGTATGTACATTATTATTGTACAAGATAATCTCGGCTGCTCAAAGCCTCAATCAATCTCCGATCCAACTAAAGCGAGATTAACCCAAAAAGAAGACTATGAATTCTATTGGACCGCAACATTCGATTTTGAATATGATTAATAAAGAAATGTGTAAACTTCATAACAACTTCATATTTTCTTATTAGTTAAATTATTTGTAAACGTCACAAGTGAAACAAGAAAATTTCAATTTTGGAAGAAAGAAATGTGTCTTGACCAAATGCGCTATTAGTCTTTACTCGAACTTCTGACCCTTCACTTTCTATGTCAATTATTATACCATTTCACAAACTTTTCTTCTCCTTCTCACTCCAACCTCTTTATTTATCCCAAAACCAGAGCTGTTCCATCTTCAAACCCCCAAAGCTCCCATTATCAGAAAAAATGAAAATCAAATTCTCCCTCTGCTTTAGGCCTGTTGTTGTAGAAGCAGAGGAGGAGTGTGATCAGAAGCACCATGATCATCATATGTACTATGATCCTGTCTCTACAGATATTGTTCCCGGAGCAAACCCCGGGAAACTTACATCATCAGCCAGAAGATCATCTTACACTGCTTCCGGCCATAAACTCCGGAAGCTATTCAAGAACTTTTCCGGCCATTCTTTTCAGCATCCTTCTGTCAGTTCTTATTTTCCTTTTATATCTATCTATCTCTCGTTAAATAAAGTTCATTTCTTAGGAATTCTTAGGGTTAGTAAAAGTAATAAACTTTGTTTGGTATCAATGTATCATCATTTAATACTACTGCGTGTGATGGTAAAAGCAAAACAGAACATGTAATTCATATAGAAAGAGAGTAATCAAATTCTGCCCTTTAAATAACCATCTTTTATGTTGATGACTTACAAAATCTTTATGTTCTGTGATTATTTGTTACTGTAATGTATTGTTATAAAAAGAGGGAATGTTTCGCCATATTGGTAAGCGATTCTGGGAAAAACTCAGACATCACTAATGATAAAGCTGATGAAGAAAAAGAAGAAGAAAAGAAGTCCATTGATGGGCAGAGATCATCTGAAGCGAAAACGTTGGGATCAAATCCAGAAATACCTAAGACGATGACTAGTTGTACTTCTTCCTTTTCGAGCTGTCGGGTGTCATGTTTCTTCAGAACAATTGTTTTTGTCCTATTTGCGACCGTTCTTTGGGGCAGAATTGGAGCCATTATAGTGATAACGTTATGGTTGGGCTCTGTGCGCTGGTGGAGTGGGTGTTTTCCGGCGACAGGAAAAAACCCGGGGTGGCGGCTTCTTGGGGGAAACCTGAAACATAGATAGAATCCGACAAGAACTATTGCCTTTGCTATGTACGTTTGTTTGTTTAGATTTTTATAAACTGTACACTCTAATGAAATGTGGCACATTTTGATCAAATGATGATAAGCTAAACAACTTTTTACAATCCAATCAAACATGTGAAATATTAGTGTAGCAAATAAATTTTGGGATGTGAATGTGGTTAATGTGAATGCATGGCTGCAAGTCTTCCGAAGGAGAGGGGAAGACTTTGGAGGTATGTCGTTGAAGGGGAAAGGAAGGGGAGGGTGAGGAAGCATTTCTTTGTATTTGGGAGTAATAAAATTGGAAGGTTTGTCACCGCATAACCAGCATCCACCGTTGCAAATCCGATCTTATGCCAAAACTTTTATCAGATTGCCATCATAAATCGAGATGCCATCTAAATGACATTTTCAAAGGAAAATATGAAATTTTTTATGAGTAAAAATGCCACTTTGATGGCATTTCAGAATAAAGTTGAAATTTTTTAACCACCAAACATAAAATTGAGCTTTCGTCATGTGACGAAAAAGTGAAACAAAAGGAGGGCACTTAGAAGATGGGCATTTTTGAAGAGTAAAAATACCATTTTAATAACATTTTTAAATAAAATTTGGCATTTTTTTTAATAAAGCAAATGAGGAAGATGATATTGAATACAGAGGAGTGATTGAGGAAGACGAATAAGAAGCAAGACAGGGGAACAACGAACCTGAATTCTAAAACAGATCTGAACTTGAGATCGTCGTCGGCCATTGCTCAACGCTCGCCGCCGCTCCTTGCTGTCGCTCGCCACTTGCTGCCGCTTGTCGCCACACCTTCACCGCTCGCCGCCGCTTGTTGTTGCTCGTCGTCGCTGACCGTTGCTTGCTTCCGTTCGTCGAAGTCGCCCACTGTTCCAAACTTGCGCAAGTTTGAGCGGAAAATTAAAGGGCCAGTTGGGTGCTGCACGGTTGAAGTAAATGCAGGGGTAATATTGGAACCAAATGAAAATTTAGTCCTATTTAGGTTTTAAAACAAGAATAGTCCTACGTGTGCACATTTAGTCTTTTTTACTCCTATTTACAACCATTTTCCTTATTTATTTTGATCATTACAGAATTCAGAGCATTGAATCAAAACATATATGTTTAGTACAAAAAAATTGATCGATTAATTTTTGCTATGTACAAGAACTATTGCCTTTGCTATGTACATTTGTTTGTTTAGATTTTTATAAACTGTACACTCTAATGAAATGTGGCACATTTTGATCAAATGATGAAAGCTAAACAACTTTTTACAATCCAATCAAACATGTGAAATCTTAGTGTAGCAAAGAAATTTTGGGATGTGAATGTGGTTAATGTGAATGCATGGTTGCAAGTCTTCCGAAGGTGGATGATTGTAAATTCAAGAAAGTAGTATATTCTACTTTTAATCTCAAAATTATGAAGTGCTATTTTTATTGTTATCAGTTTGACAGACATAAGTTTTTTCTTTTGTAATTTTTGAACTATTTAAAAGTCTTTTAGGGTATGTTTGGGAGTTTTGAGAGAAGAGGTGGGGAAGACTTTGGAAGTATGTTTTTGGAGGGGAAAGAGAGGGGAGGGTGAGCCTTTCTTTGTATTTGGGAGTAATAAAATTGGAAGGATAGGGTTTTTGAAGGAATTATAATTAAAATCACTTTGAGATATGACGAATTCAAATCATTGAGTCGATATTCATTTCTAATTTAGCTTAAATTATCATCTTGTTAATTATCCTCCAAAACTCTCCAAATAAATGGAACATAAAAATTAAGCATTTGGAGGGTTTTGAAGGATTACAAAAGCCCTCCAAAATCACCCCTCCAATTTTTTAAACTCTCAAACATGAAAAGGAGGGTCATAAACCCCCATTAACCTTCCCCTCCCTTCCAAAACCCAACTCCCAAACACACCCTTAGGAACTCTCAGTTGTATGTTTGGTATTACAATTACAATTTTTAGAAATTGTTTTAAAGTTTATAATCTTGTAGAAGTTACATAGAGTTTCTCAAAAGAGGATAAATTTTAGAATTAATTGCTCATAATAACTTGTATTACTAAATATATTTATATGTGCCATCACTAAAAATTATTAACTCATCAAAAAGTATTATTTAGCTAGTTATGTTAAACATACAATTGATATTTCATTAGTGACCTCTTTGTCTTTTGCTAATCTTTCATTTGTGCCATCAACTTTTGTACGAGGGAAAATATTTTACTTTAACTTTATCAAGTTTTAGAGCCCAATTGGTTATGATAGAATTGGTTGAATAGGATGAAATTGTTGAAATTCTATTGAAGTGACTGAATTACTGAATCTGTCGAATTATGAAAAAATTGTATTTAAAATATATTTTACTCATAAAATCGTGAAAGAAAGTATGAAAGTAGTTAAAATGGACAATCAAAGTGTCTACGGTCAATTCAACCAGAAAAACAACCATAACATTATTTATTTTGATCATAATTACAGAATTCAGAGCATTGAATCAAAACATATATGTTTAGTACAAAAAAAATTGATCGATTAATTTTTGTGAAAGGAAGCTTGTCAAATTTTAACGATTTATATCATAATTAAAATAATTTCTTTTAAGTAGTGTTTTGTGGCACTATCATAATATGACATGGTACAATTTTTTTTTATCCCGGAAGACAAACCATCAAAATCAGTGAGGCAAACGTCGGGGGAACGCTTGTCAAGTTTTATTAAAACAAGAGTAGAGTACAAAAAGAGAGGGAGCCAAATCAAAACCGCAGGGGAGTAAAACAAAGAAAATACAAGAGACTTTGGGGGGCTAGGCCTGACCCAAAGTGAAGAAAAGTTAAGGTTGTTACGCCTATGAGTTGTGATTCTGTCCAACGTTAGGCCGTGTATAAGAAAGAGCACAAGGGGTTGATATAAGATGTACTATTTCACAACTAATCTCATATAATTGTGGTGCTTTATTCGAGTTATTAGCGGACCATTTGTTTGGATCTTTGGTCAAGAAGAGTACAAAAATGAATGCTCAATTAGAATCATCTTGGCATTGCCCCCTTCGGTTCGATTTTGATTTGCAATTTTTGTGACGTGATTTGAATACTAGTATGTTTTAACTATACATATGAATACGATTTTAAAAATATTACCAAATAAGATTACGTTTTGTAATTTAATTTTGGGTCCCTCCTGCTCCATTTTGTTTCCCAAGCCCGAGCCATACCCTTATAAATTCAGTTGTGGTTCGTTTCTGGGTACCCAGGCGTCAGGTCCCCGTCCCAACCCCGGTCCCACTATTTTTCAAAAATAATTGTCCGGTTTCAAGGCTAAAAAATAAATTCTAACGGGTTGGGATCGATACTGGGACATGGTACCCTATACACCTGATCGGGTACCCATTCTTCGATCGTAATAACAGACTCGGTCTGATCCTGCATAGTAAGAGACCTGATTACGAATCGAGCCTGATCGCCGAACTAGGTCCATCCCTGGGTAGAGCGGGGAACAAAGTGATTAACCAACCGCCTAAAAATTTGAGAATATAGAGCACCCAAACACCTTTAAGTTGATAAATTATACGAGTAAATTTTGAAGGTCATTACGAGTCAAGAGTTATGATTCTTAGAAATTCAACAACATCTAAACTTTAAATGGATAAAAGTTAAATCATAATCTTAGTTATATTTCAAAAGTTTAAAAATAATGTCTAATTTATTCCTTAGCTACATGAAATTTATAATGTACAGTCTCTTTCTTGAGTTATTCTAAAAATATGAAAATTTTCTTAAATTGTACAAAGTATTCTATCAACTTTTTTACTTTCCCATTTTATCCATTTATCTATCATTTCACCATTTACTTTTTTTGAGTTCATTTTTCTCTTTCTTACTTTTGAATGTTGGAATTGTAAAACAACTATTATATTTTTTATTTTCTAAAACATGCACCAAACTCATTTGCATCTTATATCATGGGACATAGATAGTACATGTATACATCAAAGTATCAAACAAATAATAATAATTTTAATAGACACATTTGAACTAACCTTTATTCCACCTACATATAAATTATTTAACTCAATTTTTTACAAAAAAAAAACAACTTCCAAAAAATTAGATCTAGACAAGTTCAGTCTAACATGAATTTATTTTAGTCTAATATTATCCGTCTGATCCTGTGATGTTCGTTCTAATGTTAGCTGCATACCCGCAAATTTTGTTATTATGGCTGTGTATTCCACATTACTCATAAGAGTGATTATGATTAGATTTTGTCTGAACTCAATTTAGTTTAAATCTGTTCCAATTAAATCGAATGCGCATCACTTCACGACTTAAATCTACTGAGTACTATAAACAGCATAAGCATTCGCCATTGTTCGCAAGTTCACGAGTCACGACTATAGAGCAAAATTAAAACGTGATAAAATAATGTCAATATGAAAGTGGAAAGTATAAAACTTCTCTAATAATATAACTTTCGTGAAATTATATTTAAACAAGTAACAAAAGTACCTATTAGGGAATAACAAGTGGTCAGCGGCGGCCTTGCATGTTTGAAGGCCTAGATTTATAAAAAAAATCTAAACTAACATGCACAATAATCATAGAAACAATAACCATTCTGAAAAATTCAAGACATTTTAAAAAAATTGTAAAACTCTCTTCTATCTAAATCAATAATATTATAGTATTGGTGGGTCTTATTTAGGAAAGAAAAACAAGTGGTGCTATTTATGTACTTTACCTATATTTTATTCTTATTTAAGGAATTAACCTAATGATGTGATCATTCTGAGTAGGGATGTACCGGTCCGGGTCTGACCGGCCCGGAAACCGGCCCGGACTGCCACTGTTTGGTACTGGACCGGCCCGGTTGTCTGGGACCGGTTTGTTTGGCCTGAACCGGGGCAATTGGGGGCGGGCTACGGGTCCTTCAAATTGGTGATCGGCCGGTCCGGGACCGGTCTAGGCCAACGGTCAGATTTTTTAAAAAAATCTTTTTAAATTATGTGGCCATGTGGGGTGTCCAGGGACTCCAAACGGCTCTATAGCCATTGGAGACTCCTGTGGCCTGGGGGCGGGGTTGGGGTATGGGGAGTGGGGGTGGGGGTAAAAAATTCCTATATATAC